GCACATGCCGATTGGAGATCACCACTCTACCTCATGGACCTACAAATATTAAAGGTCACTTCCTCACTGTTCAACCGAAATTTAATCTACCCCTTTTCCATGTCTACTAAGGCTCTTCCCGTAGCTAGGAGTGGCCTCCCAAGGATAATAGGCACTTCAAAATCAACCTCACAATCAAGAATAACAAAATCGGCTGGAAAGATGAATGACTCCACTTTTACTAGCACATCGTGGAGTATCCCTATAGGTCGTTTTACTGTTCGATCAGCCATCAGTAGCCGCATCACAGTGGGATTTGGATCACCCAAACCCAACTTCTTGTAAATCGAAAGGGGCATGAGATTTATGCTTGCCCCCAGATCACATAATGCTTTCGCAAAATGTAATAGCCCGATTGTACAAGGAATAGTAAACGCGCCCGAATCTTCTTTCTTTTGGACCAGAGATCTTGTAGCAATAGCACTACAATGCTGCATTCTATCATCATCCTCAAAAGTGACCTATCTTTTCTTTGTAACCAGATCTTTCATAAATTTGGCGTAACCAGGCATTTGTTCGAAAGCTTCTACCAAAGGGACATTGATAGAAAGTTGCTTCAACATTGTTATAAAATGCCGGTATTTACCATCCTCGGTCTTTTTCACTAATCTCTGAGGAAATGGGGGTGGTGGCCTAGGCATAGGAGTTACCTTTTTAGGCACTTCAGCATCTTTTGCAGTGTTATCCTCTAATTCAGCATCAACTTCTACCACTTTATCAGATTCTGTTGTCACCTTATTCTCATCAGATGACATAGGTGGATCAATGGTTTGCTTACCACCGCGAGTAGTAATTGCCATACAATGTCCATCATTTTTCGGATTTTTGATAGTGTTGCTAGGAAGAGTGCCCGGTTGCCGTGTGTTCACAGTTGCAGATAATTGGGCCAATTGTAACTCAAGTTGCTTAATTGATATTGCATGGGTATCAACTTTTTGCCCAATACCCGCTAGATAATTCCTCAACTCTTTATTTTGCTCATCTCTAGCATCGAACCTCCTCATCATTTTATGCAACATATCCTCAACTCGCGCCATACTATCTCCACCATCCCTAGGAGTAACTTCACGATTTTGAGGAGGAACATAGGGTCCACTCCTGTCATTTCTGTTACCATAGTTACTCCTGTTGAAGTTTTTGTCGCGGTTGTAGTTACTATCTCAGACATAATGACCCTCACGGTTGTAGTTACCATAGTTCCGACCTTGGTTCCCTTGACCTTGGCGCCAATTATCCTGATTTGAGCCTTGGGCGCTTGGTCGGAAACCCCCCCTTTGTTCATTGACTGCATAGGAATCCTCCTCATAGTAACATTCACCATTAGGGGGTGGTGGTTTAGCCAAGTAGTTGACTGCATTAATCTTTTCTGCACCCCTAGTGACATGTTTTAGTACCAACCCGAGCTCAGTTCTCATCTGAGCCATTTCTTCACGAATATCATCTGTGGCTGGGTTGTGAGTGGACTGCACTGCGAAGGTGTTTCTCCCTGTATCAGACTTCCTAGTACTCCAAGCTTTGTCGTTACGGG